AGCTCTTGGTCACACAAACATAGTCAAATTTCCCACTCGACTTGACAAAACACTCGATCTAGTTTTTACTAATGACGAAGGAGTATATGAAACACGTAGACGTTCACCGATACTAAACTCAGATCACTGCATTGTCCGTGTTTTGCCAAAAATATACAGCAAAACACATATTAAAATCTTCTCACACCTGTCTACGAAAGCACAACAAAGATGCTACACATCTGACAACCTACTCAATCTAAGATGCATGTTAAAAGATACTAACTGGGATTTATTCTATGAAAGTACATTAGATGACTCAATCACCAATATAATGGATTATCTTAAGTTCTGCCTCGACATATGCTGTCCCAAACAAACACTGTTCAAACGCCTCGACCGCTTCTCGTCTCCCCATCTCAAACAACTTCGCAGGCAAAAAGAAATGTTATATAAATGCAAAGACAAGTTAGGACTTAAAAAGATTAATGCTCAAATCAAATCTGAAATCAAAAATCTTAATGCTATCTATAACCAAACACTTTTATCATGCAAATCTCCTATCAGCATGTGGAAATTTTTCAATGAAATTACTGGCAATAGTAAGCGATGTAATGTTTTTCCCTCTTGTGATGTTAATGCTCTTAATCTGTCTTTTATACGCTCTCCTTCTACTATAACCACTTCTAACGTTACTAATCTTGTAGCTGATAACTTCCAGGACTTTAACACTCTTGATGTTTTAAAATGTCTTAAAACTCTTAAGCCCTCATTAGTCTTGGCCCTGATGGCATACCTGCATATGTTCTAAAACAATGTGCAGATGCTTTATGTTCTCTTCTAACTAATATCCTAAATGCTTCTTTCTCCGAAAACGTTGTACCTGTTCCATGGAAAGACATTAAAATAGTCCCTGTCCCTAAACCTGGCAATAGCAAGAACGTAAAGTTCCCCGTTTCTAAAGCTCATGGAAAAACTAGTACTTCTTAAACTCGAACCCTCCCTTAAAAGCTTCGAAGACCCCAAACAATTTGCCTACAGACAGGGTAGGAGTACTTTAGACGCTGCAGCCGTCTTACACAACAGTATTGTCTCATCATTAGATAAAGGTGCCAAATATGTCCGCTGCACGTTTCTTGACTTCACTTCTGCTTTCGACTCTGTACCTAGATGTCTCTTGCTAAATAAGCTCTCCATGACACAAACCGAGTCCTGGGTCACTAACTGGTTGCATTCCTACTTTTCAAACAGAATGCAGTACACCGTATACAAAGGCGAATCCTCCTCTGCTGTGCTCACTGAAGCTGGTGTCCCCCAAGGTGCTGTACTCTCCCCACTTCTCTTTTCATTCTTCCTACATGACCTACCATCTTCAAATGACATTAACTTTGTCAAATATGCTGATGACCTAACTGTATCTTTACCTGTCAAATGTCAAAGTGACTGCTCTAAACTAAATGGCTTCTTATCAGAAATCAGCCAATGGTCCAAGGAAAACGGTCTCACCTTAAACCCCTCCAAATGCCAAACAGTTAATTTCACCTTTAGGCAGAAATCTGACCTAAACAAACTGGTTAGCACTCACGAGGTGTGCAACATAGATGGCACTGAAATAGAAACCAAGTCGGAAATTAAATACCTAGGCGTCACTCTATCTTCTGATCTTTCCTGGTCGTCTCATATCTTGACGATTTCCAAGAAAATATTCCGTCTTACCTTCTACATCAAGAAGTTAAGACATTCTGGTGTAACCCAACCCTTACTCCTACAATTTGTTAACTCCCGTATTCTGCCTATTATTCTCTATTGTTCCCCCTTAGTCTTTCCTGGGCTATTGAAGAAAGACTATACCTTATTACGTAGGATGTTAAAGGTTGTCAGCAGGGTAAGCAGTTTGCCACTTAGCCAGCTTGTTAATATTCTGGTGGACAGGCACATGGACTCATGTGAAAAATGGGCAAAATCCATTTTATCTGACTCACAACACCCTCTACATTCACAACTCTCCCCATGTATCTCTTCAGGGAAAACAAGAAGCCTATATAGGAAACTATATGCCCGCACTAGTAAGTACAAAAACTCATCCATACCCTACCTAGCTCGTGTTCTGTGCGATAAAGAAAGCATTAGGCGTGAAACCTTTAACTTATTAAATAGTCAGTAGAACAAACAGATCTCGTCTTTCCAACTCACATCATTTACAGGTACAACGTTTTCTCTCTTTTCCTTTCTCTCTACCTTTTTTTGTATTTTTTGTTATGTGCTGTTTTGTTTCTCTCTTCCTTACAAACTCTACTTAAAACATTCTTGTTCGTTCTTTCACACTCTGTATATCTCGACCATTTTGCTATCGCTTACGCCAGTAAATATGCTAGTAGTATCTACTTTTCTAACACCTTCAAACACTCTGTTTAAATTTTGGCTTTGCTACCGACATGCTAATATGTTGTTATCAAAACTAACTGAGATTACCCTTAATCTCTGTAGAATTTTATTTATTGTTAAGGTACTAACTGGATGCAATATTGTAGTAAAAATGCTGAGAATTCCATTCGGTATCACAAGTAATGTTTTCGAATAAAGCTATTATCTTATCTTATTATGTAGTAGAATTTTCAAGGACAAAGTTTACCAGTATCTGATTGGTCTAAAGACTTCTGTATTAATTATAATTAAGATTGTACAGCTCATGAAAATGAATCCTAGAAAAGAAAATTTTCTTCGCTGTTTGTTCCTTTTTCTTATGACTCAATATGGGATTATTTCGTTCACAAAATTAACAGTTATAACAAATTAGATGATGCTCACACTTATGAAAAAATAGACAAAAACAAAAATTAAGAGGACTATAAATATAAGAAATACAATAACAATAACTGTTGATGCTGTACGAGTGGAGGAAATGGTTTATTTAGTAGTGCAAATAAGGTTAGTTAGTTCATGCCTGACACTACTTTGATCAAATAGAGTACGTGCATAAATTCTTCTGAAAAAAGAAATCTGGTTTACCTGAGGAGACAAAAGGTTGAAGCTGTGAGTGAAGTGGATGCTCAAATTCGACAAAATTCCTCTAGCGAATTTGTTGCATGACATTAAGTGCCAATCATTAACACTGTCAAAGATATGGCCCACTGGGATGCCACCACTCGCACTATTGACAGTCTTCAGAGTTCTTCGAAGTATGGCATAGTCTTTTTTAAGCAATCCGGTAATGAGTAAGGGTGAACAGTAAGGAAGAATAGGTAAAATACGCAAGTTGACAAACTGTAAGAGGAGGAGGGGTTGAGTTATGCCTGAGTACCTTGACTTCTTAATGTAAAACGTCAGACGAAGTACTTTTTTTAGAAATCGCGAAGACATTGTAAGACCAGGATAGGTCAGAAGAAAGAATTGATCCAAGATACTTAACTTTAGACTTGGTTTCTATATCAGTATCATCAATTTTGCAACGGTGATAGGAACCAACAGCTTCACTTAACTTTCTTTTACATCGGAAACTGAAATTAACGGTGACATTTGGAAGGATTTAGTTTAAGATCATTTGTTGACTCCTGATAGAAAGCTGCTCATCTAAAGTTTAGCTGGAGGTTACCATACATTGAAATAGTTAAATTGTCCGCATAATTAACAAAGTTCATTTTATCTACTCTCCATACAGAATCATCAGGTAAACTGGTATCCAGCAGTACATCGTGTATGATGCTGCACTGTTCCATCTTAAGGAATATTCAAGTCTCTACGATATGTTTTCTTTTCTCTCAATTCTGTCGAAAAAAATGCTCTACAATACTGCAATCTAAAACTTTGCGTGAGTTCGCATAGCGACCCAAAAAAATACAGTTTGATGATTAAAACAACCAAAAAAATGGAGAAGAGTTTATTCAGCATTATGCCGGATGGTAATTTAGCTAGCCCAGTGATTTAAACAAGCTGCCAGCAGTGAGTTCATTCTCACTTATAACAATTGATTTACTCACTATTTTGATCACCCAACATTAGAATTCTATGCAGTTAGTATTGTTCTCTGAGATGGTCGGTTTAGTTGCGATGCTTTCGTCGTCCTCCTTCTGGACAAAATCAGCAGGGCGATTTCTAGTATAAAGTGAACTGACTAAAATTTTCCCTGAGTAATAGAACTAAGTCTCCCGGTAATCAACTTTACATTTTTATAGATGATTTTTATTGACTTGGATTTTAAACCTTCTCACCACATGTGATTCACTTTTTATGCGTCGGTCGCACGGTGGTTAGGACTCTCGCCGACCATGCACATGGTCCGAGGTTCGATCATCTGTCGACTCACACCTCATATCTATGGTCAGCCTGCAAAATTTGGGCTACCGATATCCATCCTGAAAATTTCATACTTGTACCAAAAATACAGTGTGGAATCAAGCTGTAATCAAAAATTAAATTTATTAGTTGGCGAATTTGATCAATATTAACATGTTTGTTAACCGCCTATTCGTCTGAGTACCAGGCTTCAATGCATGTAGGTAATTATGGGCATCAATTTGATTAGGATTATGTCGAAATATTGGATAGAGGAAACACCAAAAGTATCAGGCAATTCCTAGAACCCTGGTACCAAAACGAAAATGCAATTAACAAACACGTTAATATAGACCAAATCTACCAACTAATAAAAAGTAAATCAGGTGACCAGAAAGTTTAAAATTCAAGTCAATAAAAAATGAACAACGCATATCCAAAGATGGTTACAGGGAGATGCGATTCTATCACTCATGGGGAATTTAAATCATTTCACGTTATGCTAAAAATTGCGCTGTAGATGCTATACAGAAGGGGGGGACGACGGCTCCACAACTAAACCAACCACTTCGGAGAACACTACTGACTGCAAATCATCCACCTCAACTACAAATCTTCTCTTTTTTTAGAATTCTATTTCTACCTTATCATAAATGAAGCTTAGACTATCATCCAACGATCAGAAGAAAGTATTAATTTATAAGTGAACCTGATCAAAAGCTTTTTTTCATTAGTAAAACATTTCTTACCATTGCCGGATATCCGGTTCTTCACAGTATCTACCTCCCCAACCGTATTGACATTGACAAATGAAATTATAACCATCTTGGCTTGAAATACACATTCCTCTATTTCGACAGATTACCTATAAAGTAAAATTCAATAAAAATATTTAAATATTGGCCGGTGCTTCAGGAACTTGACTCTTCGTTCTCGTTATGGAACACCTACAAGTGTGCCTAAATAAAGGTGTAGCAAAGACCATCGACAGTTCAATATTAGATCAGCCGGTCCACACAGACCACAAAGCCAGCACTAACGAATCGTTCTCTATCATCTACCGGCTAGCAAGTAAATTGCCAAAAACATCCAGGTACCACACACTCCAAATATCAGAGGCTATCGCGATTCGCATGAAGCAATCAGTGCTTTGTGTGCAAAAGAAACAATTCCAGCCACTACTATCACTCTGGCCGGCGTTCAGTGTAGACTGTAAATTCCTGAATTTCTATTAGTATCCTTCCTAATTTCTCTGATATTCATTCAGTGTGTAGTGTTATGTTGATGTTATCAAACTGTAATCCACTGATATTATTGTCATTCTTTTCCTTCACGTTTTCAGTGGAACATAGGGCTTCAAGATAGAGGCTTGAAGTTTCTGTTGCAGTGTTGATTTTTTACAGGATGAGGTTGCTATCCTCATGCTCAACCTTTCCTCTTTACCAGTCTCACTACTGGCTTAGCGAGGTAAAGGAGTGCACCAGTCGGTGATCGAACCCCGGACCATGTGCATGGTTGGCGACCGTCCTAACCGCTGTGCCACCGAGGCACATATTATTATTATTCAAACAGCATTAACGTTGTTCATAACACTAATTCATTCATTCACAATGATGTATATATAACTGTAAAACCTGATGAAGAGCGAGTAATTGAAAAGAATATTCTTTGTTCATTAATCAGTCTTTTCGAATTAAATAAATAAATTAAAACTGTCGTTGAAATAATGTTTGTTTTTCAGGGGTCTGATGAACTTCTATCAAGTCACCAACCAGATTTTTGTAAAAAAAAATCAAATACATTCAATTAGATGACAATGAAATCACTGTGTCCTTTTACTACACAACATAGCACACTTCGATAGGTCGAGCAGTAGTCAAAGAAACTATACAGCAGTTAGTGTCGAACGATGAACACACAAAGATGCGATATCCAACCTAGATGAAATTGATAGATTTATGCCTAACAACATATTTTCAATTCCCTGATCAGATTCTACGAACAGATAAAAGGAACATCTTAGGGGTCATCGCCCATATCAGGAAATAATAGCTGAAGCCATTATGCAGAGACAGGAGTTAATCACCCCATGCATAATTAAACCAAAAATCTGGATACGTTATGTCGACGGCACTTTCGTAATAATTAAGAGAAATGTGATCTGGAGTACACCAACAAATTATTCAAGAACATATTTGAAAACATTAAATTTACAAGAGAAGAACAAGCAGACAATGAGTTTCCTCCCTGATATGTCTTAATCAAGAGAACTAACATAGGGAATTCGGAGACACAAGTACATAGAAAATCAACACATACGCACACGGATCAAATACTCAACTGTAATAGCAATATATATATGTCCCAACCAAGTTCACTTTTAAGAGTTTGAAAAAATTTGGACATTGAGTATATGACATTCATTATAATAAGGGTTTTTTGTATTTCCTAATGAATGAAAAATAAAACGATATTGATGTTTCTACTGACGCTTCCCTATTTAACGCTAATAGCTTAATCATAGTAGCAAGGTTAAATCAGAATTTATAAAATCTCAGTTTATATATTTAACATTTTAATCATCGTTCCTCAGTATGGGGCCATTTCTGCGTTGTCAATATGGCCAATTGGTAATGTTAACAAAACCAGGTGTAGATCGTTGGATTTGATAAGTGTTATTAGAAGACGGAGATTATCTGAAGAATGTGATGTATTTGCGATATACATTTGGAACAATCTGATCACGTATTTACTCGTTGATTCGATATACATGTGAAGTTTTATATGACACTATCCAGCCTGTCTAGCAAATGTGTGTAAAGTTTGGGAAGAAAATATCTAGTGAAATCAGAACATCCACTTTAATTTTAAAAGTCTTTTAATGTCGTATACAGGAACCAATCGAATCTCTTATATGGAATGACATCAAGGCACCTAGGCATAGCTGAAACACGTGTGATCATGAAGCTCAAGCCCTGTGATCTTTATTTGATCTTCCTGTCTAACGTTACATTTTAATTCTTATTTGCAATTTTGTTAATTTGCCCCTTCATTTCAAAAACAGTTCTGGTACTTTCTCACTCATTTACTATAAATACACGAATGTACAGCCTAGTTCATGATTTTATCGAAAAGAAGAATTTCTTCCCTGCCATCCTTTTTATATACCCTATGAACCAGATTAATAATTTATTTAATTTATACCTCTACGTCCCCAGGGCCTCAAGTTAGAACTTTGAAGTTTTGGAAGTAGTGGTTTCTAATCTTGACTGAGTTGGTTTGCTAGACTCACTTTCAACCTTCCCTCTTTACCGGATTTAAGACAGGCTTAGTGAAGTTTGGGAGTGTGTCAGCAGCCGGGTCGACCCCCGAACCACATTCATGATTGTTGACTATTCTACCTATGAACCACCAAATCACCGATTCACTGGATTAGACAGAAGGAAATCACCACTACCGAGGATTGGTTTTTTATTCCTTTACGGTCCAAGCGGAACATAGGGCTTCAAGGTCGAGGCTCAAAGTCTCGGTAGCGGTGGTATTTTTTATTGAATGAGGTTGCTGGCCTCAAGCCCAACTTTGCCTCTTTACCAGTTTTATTACTGCCTTAGGGAGTTAAAGGACTGCGTCAGCCCAAGATCGAACCCTTAACCCCATGCGTGGTTGGCGAGCATTCTACTGATGTGCCGCTGTCGCTCTGTCTAGAGTACGATTCACTAAAACACTAAGACAGCATCACTAATCTTCGTTTAATAACCCTTGTTATTTCTTGAGATTGTATTGATTTTACTTGTTAAATTGTTAAATTTTTATTTACTCCATATTAGTTTATTTGATACAACCGGCTGACATTTCAAGCATAGTTTAATTGCTCATAATCCTTTCAGTGCACTCACATATGTATACATTTACATATATCTAGATACACAACAAGTAATGCCTGTGAGATCAGTTGGTGGTCTGATCAGTTCAGAATTGGATATCGTATTTTCTTTATTTTTTTATTGTTTTCATCATTATTCTATGATCTTCGATCACAAAATCGATTTATTCAGGATTAGCCAGGTTATTAAAAAACACAATAATTTGGCTTGACCTGGAATGACAGACTAGCGAAGTAAAAAATAATTTTGGAAAATGGTCGACCAGAGCCATGACTTTATTTGCTTGTAATTTGCAGAGTAGAATGGATAAAGGATATCAGAAAGTATCAGAAATACTACTATAATTACCTGAAGAGAAAGGATAAAGGAATGATTGTTTAAAAAGTCTCTCCTGAAAGATCCTATTAAAATATTGAACTTTATGAATAAGTTTCAATCCTGTAAACATTTTCCCCTTTTTTTCTCCTAGACAGCATATCATTTTTTCTCAAGTTTGCAGATCATATGTTACGTTGATCCTTATGATTTGCCTCTGTTACTGCTTGATCTCTAATTTCAATACTTCTCTTTTTTGTGGTAGTGTGATATATTGACGATGTTTTTTTTTCATGATGCGATTTCGTTTAAGTGAATGAACGAAATTTTGAAGCTGAACTGTCTTTGGAATGTGCGTCGATGGCACAGCAGTAGAGTGCTCGCCAGCTACCCAGGTGGTTCTAGGTTCGATCCCCGGCCACCGACGCACTCCTTTAACTCACTAAGCCAGTAATAAGTATGGCAAGGGAAGGTTGAGCATAAGGCTGGCTGGCAACCCAATCCCGTAAAAATAAATATCACTGCTACTGAAACTTCAAGCCTCTAACTGGAGGCCCTATTTTCCACTGGGAATGTAAAGGAATAAAAAGCTGTCTTTGGGAATTGTCAGTGTATGATTCCTGTGTACGGCTGCTTTCGATCTGACCTTAGGTGACATATTCCAGTAAGATATCCTTCTTTCAGCTGAATTTCTGTCAGGTAACATTTTGCACCTAGAAATTTAGCTTGTCTGCACAGCTACCTAACAGCATTGTTGAAGTAATTTTTTGTTTTTATTATTGTCGAATAAAACTGTGACGACAGAAGAATAGGGCCAGGCAACATATTGTTTATTGAGAAAATCAACAGATAATTATATATATTCTTGTGTACATTGTTGTCAGCGGAGAACCAACCTGGTTGTCTTCTTGCTGAAGGTTATCCTGTACTATTTATGACCGTTTTTCTTAAAACGTTAAGCCGTATATCTTCGAATCATATTAACATACGCTAAGTCTGCTGTGATTGGTTGGTATGTTACTCAAGGCTACGCTGTGTTATTACTTTTCTGATGATCCTGCTTCAGAAAGTGACACTGGCGTAAATCTTTGTCTACGATTTCGTCTTGCAGCCAGCTCTCAACACTAAACCACATGAATTTATCGATGAATAATCATGTTTTTGCTCTCTTTGAAGCGTCTTATGACTGTGGTACAGTAAGATGTAAAGATCTATTTCCTGAGTTTATACCACTACAATTCAGTTTTGGTTATTTCAGAGTGGTCAGTCACTGAGTCTTTGTTCATCGAATCAGTACCTATCACATGCAATCGAAGTGACGCAACGATTTTCGCGACTATGTGAAATGCAACAGGCAATAAAGCTGTATAATACAAATCTGGAAGCCACGTGTATTCATTGCCATGACAATGTGCAATAAAGTAAACTCTAAACGTTACTCAGTGAATAACACTCCAGTAAACATATTTATAATATGGAAAGATATTCTACGAAAGTAGCTGAATTCCACGCTAACATTATCTCATTTCACTTCAGATCTTCACACTTACTACTCTACAAACAAATGAAGTACAACACAGAGAAATATTTGATAGATAAGACCTAATTTACCCACTATGACCACTAATTAACAATGTAACCGTATGGACCTTCTATATCTCAATAA